TTTTGTCTGTGGCTCATCCTGCTACACATTCATACATACATTCACTCATCCATTCAAAACATTTCATGAGCAGTTACTGTCATGCGCGTCCGTGTGAAGAGACCACCAAACAGGCTTTGTGTGAGCAATAAAACTTTTTAATCACCTGGGTGCAGGCGGGCTGAGTTGGAAAGCAAAGGGAGATAAGGGTGGGGCTGTTTTACAGGATTTGGGTAGGTAAAGGAAAATTACAGTCAAAGGGGGGTTGTTCTCTGGCGGGCAGGAGTGGAGGTCACAAGGTGCTCAGTGGGGGAGATTTTTGAGCCAGGATGAGCCAGGAAAAGGAATTTCACAAGGTAATGTCATCACTTAAGGCAAGGACTGGCCATTTTCACTTTTTTTGTGGTGGATTGTCATCAGTTAAGGCAGGGACAGAGCATTTTCATTTATTTTGTGATTCTTCAGTTACTTCAGGCCATCTGGGCTTATACATGCAAGTTACAGGGGATGCGATGGCTTGGCTTGGGCTCAGAGGCCTGACAGTTACTTAGTGCTCGTTAGTTTTTTTGTTTTGTTTTGTTTTGTTTTTCAGATGGAATCTCGCTCTGTCTCCCAGGCTGGAGTGCAGTGGTGGCACAATCTTGGCTCACTACAACCTCTGCCTCCTGGGTTCAAGTGATTCTTGCCTCAGCCCCCGAGCAGCTGGGATTACAGGAATGCACCACCACACCTGGCTAATTTTTGTATTTTTAGTAGAGATGGGGTTTTATCATGTTGGCCAGGCTGCTCTCAAACTCCTGACCTCAGGTGATCCACCTGCCTTGGCCTCCCTAAGTGCTGGGATTACAGGTGTGAGCCACCATGCCTGGCCTAGTGCTCATGAAGTGTTTTGAATGAATGAGTTAATGTATTAATATGTGCACTGTGCTAGGTGTTGGGGATTCAGCAATAAATAAGAGACACAGGATGCTTGTCCTTTATAAGCATGCTTAGTATTTTCATTGCTGCTTCTTCTTCTCTCTCTCTCTTTTATTTTATTTTTTGAGACAGGGTCTCACTGTCTCCCATGCTTGAATGCAGTGGCACGAACTCAGCTCACTGTAGCCTTGAACTCCTGGGTTCAAGTGATCCTCCTACCTCAGCCTCCCAAGTAGCTAGCTGGGACTACAGGTGTGTGCCACCACACCCCCCTCATTTTTGTATTTTTTGTAGAGATGGGGTTTTGCCATGTTGCCCAGGATGGTCTCGAATTACTGAGCTCAAGCAATCCACCTGCCTTGGCCTCTCAGAGTGCTAGGATTACAGATGTGAGCCACTGTTCCCAGCCTTAACTGCTTCTTTTACTAATAGTGTTGAGAATCTCAATCACACTTAAAAATTCTGTGTGAAAGATTCCTATGTGATATTCTAATTATTTACCCAAGATCTACATTCCAGTGTCTTGCTAGGAAAGTTGATTTACATTTTACTAGATAAATACAAATGTTTTGAATAAAAACAATGGAAACACATCTAAAACTGAAAATCTCCTGAGGAGTGTCTGCTTTTAATTTCATGGATCTTTATAAGGGGATAGTTAGCACTGTTAGCTTATGATGAGTTTCTGAAAGATACCTGGACCTGTTGCTATGTCTGAATGTGTCCCTCTCAAATGGATATGTTGAAATCCTAACCTCTAAGGTGATGGCATTCGGGGTAGGGCCTTTGGGAGATGATTAGGTCATGGGAACTCCACTTCATGATTAAGATTACTGTCTGCTATGGTTTGAATGTGCCCTCCAAAGTCTATGTGTTAGAAACTTAATCCTCAATGCAACAGTGTTGAGAGGTGGGCCTTTAAGAGGTATGTAGGCCATGAGGGTTCTGCCCTCATGAATGGGAGTGGGTGAGTTATTGTGGGAGTCAGTTCCTGATAAAAAGGATGAATTTGGTCCCCTTTCTCTTGGTCTCAAGTGCTTGGTTTCCCTTCCACCTTCTTCCTTCCTCCACAGGATGACACAGCGGTGAAGGCCCTCACCAAATGCTGGTGCCATGCTCTTGGATTTCCCAGTCTCTAGAACTGTGAGCCAAATAAACTTCTGTTTTTTATAAATTACCCAGTGTGTGGTATTTTTATTTCAGCAGAAAAGGGACTAAGAGTGCCATTAAAAAAAGAGACCCCAGAGAGCTAGCTAGTCTCTTCTGCCATGTGAGGTTACAGTAAAGATGGCTGTCATGAGGAAGGAAGCCCTCACCTGACCCCAAATCTGTGCAATCTTGATCTTGGACTTTCTAGCCTTCAGTCTGTGATAAATACATTTCTGATGTTTATAAACTACTCACTTCATATAATTTTGTTATGGCAGGCTGAACAGACTAAGAGACCTATTTTCTCCAGGGACACTACAACCACTTTAAATCTAAAGAGCAAGAATGGGGAGCCACTAAAGTAAAGCTACATTCCAGTATCACTGCTGGGATGTAGAGGTGATGGTGGAAAAAGACTTGGCAGAATCCACTGAGGAAGGCAGCCTCACCTCTATTCTCACCCTGGCACTTTAAGACATGAATGAGTTGAGGCCAGATAGGTGGCTTGCGTTAAATTCCAGGTGATGGTTTTACAGTTCTTGGCACTAGCAGATGGGGATCAGAGGGCCTGCATGTGGAGAGAAGGGTAGAGGGTGGGGGTCTAGGTTAGTTGTATGTTGATAGGGGCCATTGATGGTAGACTCTGGATGAGGAAGAATAGGTAGGCAGAGGGGGAATGGCACCAGGAAGCATCAGGTTGGCCCTCAAGAGTTGGACCTGCCATCTCTGAGAGACTGACTAGCAATAGGATAGTCCTGCTGCAGTGGAGCAGTGGGTCCAGAGGAGGTTATTTCTGCTTTTAATATGAAGGTGGGTCCTTAATCATCAGAATAGGAGCTGAGGATGATGGTGAGGGTTTCTGAAAGAAAAAAGAGCCCTGGGGGAATGGAAGCAACCCTTTTTTACAGTTGGTTAGGCCGTTTCACAATTAGCTTATTTGAAACTAGCCTCCACTCTAGATAAGGAAGCCAAGGATCAGAGAAATCACATAATTTGTCCAAGTCACATCCCTGGTATGCAGGCAGAGTAGGGATTTGAATTCAACTGTCTCTGTCTTCAGAGAGTGTGCTTTTTCCAGATCTTGTCTGGAAGACATGATGTTTCTCCTTTCCCTTTGTATCTCGCCCCTACCTTACTCCTCAGCCACTCTCTTGTTTCTTCTGCTTCATGCAATTCATTCTCCTGCCATCTTTTCTTCTTTAACTTGCCATAATTTGCAACAGATATATTTATTAAACAAAATCAATTTTTAAAGTAGACTGGTTGAAAATTTTATAATTTTCTAAAAAACAAGATTCCAACTCTTCTAAAATTAAAGAAGAGTTGTTTTGTACTTATTTATAAAAAGTCTGTAACTCATTTTCTCCTCTTTATGTGTCAGTATAATCAAGGGAAACAGTAGGGCCATGAATATATGATCAAAATATTAGAGTTGAGAGACGTAGAAACTAAAATACAAAGAAGCTCAGCAACTTATTTAGAATAAATTGGCTAGTTCTGAATGATCCAAATAATGGAGAGAAATAGGGAAAGTCCTGAGTTAACAAATAAATAGAGTTTCAAGAATGTGTTTGTAAATCAGTTCTCTGGCATTTGGTATATTTCTCTAATAAAAAGAAAACTGATGTGACCTGAGTGTCTCATAGAAAACAGCTGAAACTCATTATTTATATCCAAGAATAGTACAACAAACTCACCAAAATTATTATGTAGTACTTATAATGAACACAACACAAAGACAATACACTGAGAAAGAAGGACTTTAATTTTAAATGTATATGAAGAGAAAGTTCAATTAGAAAGATGAAAGAGTTAACTGGTGAATCTGGCAGAGATTCTAAACATGACATTTGGAGACTGATAAAGGACATTGGGGGATGAATGACGGACACTTGTTTTTAAGATTGTGAAAGCTGTCCTTATTAAAATGGAGTCGCCTGCGTTAAAAAACAAGACAAATTCCTGACAAATGGCTGGGGAAGGCCATGAAGGTAGGGTTCTAACACACAAATGTCTGATAACAAGAACTATTGAAAAATACTGCAAAAACCATAACTTTGGACAAAGGCCATTGCAACCACACACACACACACACACAGAACTTCTGCTGAGACATCTGCCCAGCAACTGCTGTACAACATTAGACTGGTGCCACTCTAGTTATTGATTACTGTAGCCGAGGATAATTATCTCAAAACAATGACGTAATCCTCCTTCTTCCTTGAAAAACCTTTGTCTTCCTTTACCTCCCTGAATACACAAAATAGTTTAATATGGCACACTTATTCCTATTGCAATACTCATTCCCAAATAAATATAATTTTGTTTTTAGAAAGTCTCCCTCTCTGTTTATTAGGCTGACAAGAGGTAGTGAAAGAGATTTCCTGAGTGCCTATCATTTCTATCACTCAGTAGTTAAGAACATCAGTTATTCAAAATCCATCAATTAAATACATGATTCAAAGCAGAATCTTTATGTGGCAATCTCTCTTTATGTACCTTCCACTCTAGCCATTTTAGACAGTTCAAATCACACAGTCACAAAGAGATAATTTCCTGCTTTTGGTTTTGCAGTTCACTTAACCAGACTACCCTTTCTCCCCTTGACAGTTTGATAAAATATCCTCGCTCAAAAGCCTAATTAAAATGCCATGTCAACCATTTGACAAAATATTAGCTCTTTCCTCTGAAACTAATTGCATTTTGATTGCATTCTATGCATTTCTTTCATGATTTACAGTCTCTCATTATAGTGTTTGTATACAGGCTTTATCTATAATATTAAGGTGCAAACTCTTAGGTATGGCCTTTCCACAGGTGCTCAGTGTATAGTGGTCAAATACAATTAAATTGTATGGGTCAGTTCTTTGACCATTCCTTGGAGCTCGGGTTTTCAGCCTCTCTCCGGGCTACCTTGTAGCAATTTGAGGGTCAGTCGTCAGTTTCTGCTTGGTTTCAAAGATCCAGGAGAAGCTTAGTGTTGTTCAAGACGCAGATGGACCCATCACAGCAGTTTAATCCAACCTCCATCCCAGAGTCTTCACAAATGCTGACCCAAGAAAATTCTCAGGACAATTCAGGGGCCTCTGTAATCTGTTCCGAGATGTTGATAAAGAACCTTAGTAACTTGACTATCAACGCCAGTAACGAATCCCCTTCCCCTCTATCAGAAGATTCACTCCATCAAGTGATAGATGGAATTGCTGCAAGAACACCAGTCCTCAGGCAAATCAGAGATGACTTGATTTACAGGAGGAGAGGAGTAAGAACATTGCTGTCTGTGCAGAGAGAAAGGATGGCAAGATTCAGATACATGTTACTCGGCAGAGTTCGTACGCATGTAAGAATACTGACAAACACTGGGCTTAAGGGAGTTAGGAAGGAATCAAGACCATTCAAATGTCCCTGCAGTTTCTGCGTGTCTAATGGATGGGATCCTTCTGAGAATGCTAGAATAGGGAATTATGACACCAAGCCACTTCAGCCATAAAACTTACTCTTGCACCTTTTTCTTCTTGCTGGTAATTTATATATATAGCAGGTTGTGAAAGCTACTCTATGCTAGAATAGACTATATACCAATAATATTAATGAGTTCTAGGATGTATTTTTCTTCTTGTATCTTTTTCTTCCTACTGTGATACTAGTAATTTGTAAGGGATCTGTGTCATTTGAATGTATTTGAATAACTTTAGCTCTACTGTTTGATTTCACCCAAAGACGACATAAGTATTCCCATGTGTCTTAGAAGCCCAAAGTCAGTGAGATGAAACCCAACATCAAGAAATTGAAGCAAAGTTACTTGTGGATAAAGAAAGCATTAGGTAGTTTGGCTATAGCATAATAACTAGATTTTCTGGCTTTCAAAAATTTGGATTGCAATCACAGCAAACTTTGTTATTTTTACAGTTTTCAGTACAAAAAGGTGTTTATATAGAAACAATAAAGTTGACATTTGAGTACCTTTAAAAATAAATAAATAAATAAATTGTATCAATTTAGGTTTCTGTCCAAGGCTTTTCAGAAATGGCTTCATATCACCTTTGTAAAATAGTGTTCCCTTCATTTCCATTGCCTAGCATTTTAGTTTATTTATACTACACATCACACAGGACATATTAGATATTTGTTTATTGTTTGTTTCCTTCACCAGAATGTATGACCTATGAGGGCAGGGCCTTTGTTTCACTTACCGCGTTTTCCCCAGCACCTAGATCTGTGCCTGGTCCAGAGTAGGAGTTGAATAAACTGATATTACTGGAAGTGAAAGAAATGCTAACTTGAGTACATCAAGACTCTGGGTCCAATAACTCGTCGATTCTGTCAGTATTTAGCTGCAGGACATAGAGCAAGTTGCTAACCTATGACGAGTCTCATGTCCCTGTAAAACCAATGATTGTTAAATATAGGATCTCTGGGGTCCTGTTTAATTCCACTAATGTGAGAGCAGAAAGTGAGAGAAGCAAACTGAGTTCAAGTGGATGTGGGTGAGAAAAAAGAATGCTCTAGGCAAGATTAAAGGTCCTGCTTTTGGTGCAGGGCAGAGAGAGAGTAGAAAAGCTGGAGCAATAGAGACAGATGCTCAGAAAAGGGCTGCCTTCAGATATATTAATACCTGTAAAGAAAGCCCGGGGGAGGTGCTGACTTGGGGACAGCCTGAGGCTGAGTAGACAGCTGGGCTGGTGGAGAGGAGGCTCCCAGAGGAAAGGCAAGCTGCCAGTGGGGTGGGGGTGATGGAGTTGGCAAGCTCCACAAATTTTGCAATTTTGCCTCCTTTTCCAGAGAACAACCACTCTTTTGTGACTTTGTCAGGGCTGGAATAAGCATGTGGTTCACACGTGAAAGCGAATGAGAAGTTCTATACAAAGAACCACATTTGCTGTCCATTTAATTTATTCTTCCTCATTCTCAAAGACTAGATCCTTATCGCTTACCCTTAACTTCCACGTTGAGAAGCACTTTGCACTTCCCATTCCAGCATATGTCTAAAACACTGCATCTAGTGTCGCAAACTTGTCCTTTTGTCACCTCTGCCCTGGCACCTTCCCTCCCCATAGCAGTAAGTCTGAGAAGGTCACTGTGTCTTCTACTTTTCCTTTTCCAGCATGTGGAGACAAAAGTGATTATACCCTGGATGCTAATCCGCCATGTTGACCTTTAATAACTCCAGTCCCATGAATACCTGCTGATTCCTAGGATTTTTTTTTTTTTAACTGTCGTTAGCATAAGAACATGTCAACCTTGATGCTATTGCCCACATTGTAGGCTATGACGCATAAAGCATTCTCACCTGATCTGGAGGGCTGCCTTTAATTGTCTTGCAGAGCAGTATACTCTCTCTTTACGATATATAAGGCCAGGGTTGGGGGAGTAACAGTGCATAAATTTATCTGCTTGCTGCCGCCCAAGGTCACGCTTCTGTCTATGATATCCTTCAATAACACACCTATTACCGACAGACTGGATTTGTCTGCCTTGTTCTTTGGTTTCTTGGCTTCTTCGCATTTGGGGGCTCCTTTGCATATAAGGCCCTTTCACAGAACACAGCACCATGCTAGTACAATACACTGTAGATTCTCCCTCCCTCCCCATCTCTCTCATATGCTCATATATTTTATGTTGAACCAATATGAGGCATGGCTTAAATTTAAGTCATATTAAAGTTCTAGGCTAGTTTTGAAAACAGAAACTGATTGGAAGCGGAGGCTTTGAAATACCCCACATATGCTACTAGAAGGCTGTACATTTAAGAGAGGGCCATCTAGGAAGCAATCATAGGCATTAAAAACAACAAAACAACAACAACAATAACAACAACAACAAAACAGGCCGGGCGCGGTGGCTCACGCCTGTAATCCCAGCACTTTGGGAGGCCGAGGCGGGTGGATCACAATGTCAGGGGTTCCAGACCAGTCTGACAAACATGGTGAAACTTCGTTTCTACTAAAAATACAAAAATTAGCTGCGCGTGGTGGCGGACGCCTGTAATCCCAGCTACTCAGGAGGCTGAGGCACGAGAATTACTTGAACCCGGGAGGCAGAGGTTGCAGTGAGCCGAGATCGCGCCACTGCACTCCAGCCTGGCGACAGAGTGAGGCTCCGTCTCAAAAACAAAACAAAACAAAACAAAAACAAAACAAAACAGAAACAAAAACAACTGGGGAAACGGCCCTCCCTTCAGGTTTTTTCTATCCCGTTGACAAAGGCGCGCTGTCTTTAGCTGCGATGATTTTGTCTCGCCTCCAAAACGACGCCCACGCACTGCTCTGTGGAGCACCCAAGTGAGGCTACGATTCCTACGGTCACAGAAGGCAGGGAGGCTCAGCACCTCCAAAACCCCGAGTCCTGGACAGCTCCCCATGCCCTGCCCTCGGGGCGAGGACAAGACTGTCCCTGGGGCCCTCGGGGGAGCGGCCGCCCCCTCTTGGTTCCAGCAGCGCTGCGGCCGCGCCCCACCCAGGCCCGCGAGAGCCGCGGGACAGTCCACGCCGCTGGCCACCGACTGGGACTAGCCGCGATCCACGCAGGCGCCCTGAGGCCGTGGCAGGGGCGGGCCGGGCTGGCGCGGCCTGCCTGCGGTTGAGTCCCAGGCGGGGGTGGGCCGGGCCAAGCCGGGCAGGGCCGGGGCGGGGCCGCTGGCGTTTCCGTTGCTTGGATCAGTCTCGGTGCAGCTGCCCGATCCTTCGGCGTCCTCATCCCGGCGTTGCCCCGCGTACCGTCGCCCGGCGCTCCGCCGCTTTCCCGGTGGTTCGGGACACTTGGGTCCCACAGTCTGGGTGAGTGGCCGCAGCCCGGGGAGGGGGCTCCCTCTGGAGAGGGGAGCGGGGTCGCAGGGCACTGGGTTCGCGCAGACGTTGGGCCGAGAGCTGTCCTGGTAGCTGCGAGAGGGCGGGTCGGCCCCGTGGCGGGGCCCTCCGGGCTGTCTTAGCGCCTCCCCGCGAACCTGCGCTTGGGGAGGGCGCAAGTTGCGAGTGGCGCGCTAAGCTCGAGGTCTCTTCTGTTTTGCAGTCCTGCTTCACCTTCCCCTGGCCTGACTCGTCGCCATGGCACAGGTAAGGCCGTGCGCCCCCCACCGCGCTGGATTTACCCACAACTTTGTATGCTGCGACGAGGGACTTTTAGGATTTGTCTGAAGGCCAAAAAGTTTAGGAGGAAACGGAACCTGCTTTGGGGACATCGCTTCCACCTTTCTTGTTCCCTCTTTGCTTCCCCGCCCCCTTTCCTGTGTCCCGGTTCTCCTCGCGGAGCGCCCTCCGGAACCAGCACCGACGCCGCCAAGCTGCCTTCGCGCGCAGCAGCTGGTGACGTGGCCGGATTTGTGTGCACTCCCTTTTCATGAGTGAATGTGTAAAAGTGGGCCTTCCTCAAAATCCAGAGAGTCGCTCAAATTAGAACCAGAGCAAGAACAGCTCATTGTGGTCATGTGAGGCGAACGCATTTCCCCCCCCACTTTGACTTCCTTTATTTTTTTTCCGCAAAGTTTTCTGTATTTTAATACTATGATGGAGCATTGGCTTTTTCCAGTTGCTCAGCCCAGTTTTACTAAAATAAACTGTAGGTTGTGGGCTCTGATTTTTTTTTTTTTTAAATGATTAAACACAAGCGCTGTTTTTCTTAAGCAATGAACTCGTGGAACGAATTCTCAATTGAATTTGCCTTGGGACTTGGGACTGTTTCAGAAGTTGATAATCTACTGCAGGCTTTCTTTACTGTTTTTTTCTTTTCTTTTCTTTTTTTTTTTTTTGAGAGGGACTTTCACTCTGTCGCCCAGGCTGGAGTCCAGTGATGTAGTGATCTCGCTTACTACAACCTCTGCCTTCCGGGTTCAAGCAATTCTCGTGTCTCAGCCTCCCAAGTAGCTGGGATTACGGGCGCCCTGCCACGCCCGGCTAATTTTTGTATTTTTAGTAGAGATGGAGTTTCACCATGTTGGCCAGGCTGGTCTCAAACTCCTTGCCTCAAGTGATCCTCCCGTCTCGGCGGGATTACAGTCCTGAGTCACTGCGCCTGGCTTCTTTACTGTTATTAATGTTTATCAAAAATGTAGGAAAGAGAAGATAGTTTAAGGTCTTTAAATATTGACCATGTTATACAGTCTTTTGTGAATAAGATATCAGGGCTTAAAAACTCCAAAACTGATTTCACAGATCTTGTCAATCTAACTGGCTTGTCAGAGTCCAGATAGTTTTTTTTAAACAAGTGTTTTAACTACTAAAACAATGTTCTCTCTTATTTATAGTTCACTTTTTATCAGATTGACTTACCAAAATTGAATAAAGTTTCTTGGTCCTTTCCAAGTGAAAATAGGAGGATTAAGATGAGTTGGTTACTTTAGTAAACTTATACAGGGATCCCATTCTTACCTCCTCTTTTGCACTTAAATGTTACAGTAAAACAGTTCTCATGTTACTTCAAGTGGAAAGTTTGGTTTAGGTTCTTCTCCATAGAAAGGATACTTTTATGTGGAATTAACTTTCCTTTCCTGAGGAATATTTTTCCTATCTTGATATGCTGGTGTGGTGATGTACATG